ATATATATATATATATATATATATGTATGTATATATTAATATATATATGAGTGTGTGTGTGTGCGTTTGTGTATAGGAAGCAATTATTTACAGTTTTTGGCGTTAGACAAAAACCCTATAATTTTCTTGAACTTTACTTGTTTCTATATTTTTTTAAGGTTAAGCATGAAACTTGAGATTTTTTGCATTATTCAGTTTAAATCTACCTCTTTTCAACCATATATAGGAAGGACTATTTACTATTTTATATACTATTTATATGGCTTCACTTATATATTTTACTTTTCAGAGTTTTAGAAAAAAATTATATTCCAACTTGCTGAAATGAAAAAAGTTTTAGTAGATAGAACTGCACTGTTCTCTAATAATCCAGAAGAAGGTTTTAAACAACGTAAAAGTTCAGATAAATTTAATGTTTTGAAAAAAAATTTCGCAAATGGAGATATCCAATACATCACTTTTGTATACATGAGTTTCAACTTTATATTTTATATGTTACATATTATTACAATATTTATTTTAAATTGTTACAAACATTTTCAATGTTTCTAATACATTGTTTCTTTTTAGGTAAAACAGTTATCATTAATTTGGGGTAAAAATCTAGCTGATACAATTAAAAATATTTTGCTCTTGTAAGTAATTAGCAAAAGTTTGAATTTTAACATTTATAATTGACAGTACAGCATTTATCTTCTTTTTTATTATGTAGACTGCCAACAGACACTATTTTGTCAGAATACAGCATGAATTGTCTAAAGAAGAAAAAAAAGTTTAAAGAGTTGACAAGTCCATGTTACGCTGTCACTGGTATTCTTATTAGCTTAATAATGTGTTTGATTAATTAAAAATTAAAAATGATGTTTTTTAATTTTTAATTAATCAAACACATTAATAAGTTAAAAAATTTAATTTCTTTGGCTATGGAACATGTCATGTATTCAGGTGTATGTATACATGACATTTTTTTTAATGATCTTTTTGAAACATGTTTTGTTGTTTTTATTAGAAGCTGCTTTAAAGTCAAATAAAAACTTAATCAAAATGGATACTTTCCAACTTATTGGAAAAGTAATTAGGCATTCTTCTGACCGAATAAAGAGAACATCCACTAATATGGATTTCAATCAATGATTGCTTAACTGTTGTATTTTATTTATTTTTTTCCATTTTTAAGCAATTTTCTTCTATTTATAATGCACTATCGATTATATTCTACTGTACCTATTAGTTTTTAATTTGAAAATGTAACTTTGTTTGAAAAATTATTCTTATTTTTTGTAAAGTTACTAATTTATTTTAAATATATCAAATTACACTTTATTTACATTGATTTATTTTTATAACTTCCCTTGCCTAGATTAAGGCAAATCTAAGGTTTGTGCTGTAAATCATTGCATTTTTATATAACTTTTAAAAGAATGTCTTGGTAAAATTTAAACGTCTCTTGGACGTCTGAAAAAGACGTCCTTAAGTCTTTAAAATTAAACCAGCCAGAGATGTCTCTAGAACGTCAAAAAACGTCTCTATGACGACTTAAAAAGACGTCTTTAGAACATCTGGAATAGACGTCCTCAAGCCTTTCATTTGAGACCAACTAAGGATGTCTTACGGACAAGACTTAAGACGTCTTACCGACGTTCTTAGGACGTCAAATTGCCCGCTGGGTAGTTATTGGAGTTCACTTTAGGTTTTTTTGTTTATCCTCCGCCAGCAAATGGCTTTGTAGAGGCCACATTACCAAGGTCATTGCAAATAAAGCTTTTCATTTTTAAAAATTATAGCTATTAGCTAAGATTGCTTGTAGGTATGTATTTTTTTTAAAATCTTTTTAAAAAAAACTTTTTTTTAAAAAAAAAAAAATTTGTTTAATATTAATATATCGGAATTTTTTGTAAAGACTAAAAGTAGAAAATAAAATATAGCAAAAACATTTGCTCAAAGATATAATCTTTTTTGTACTAAAAAGTTGAAAATAAACTTTTTAATTTAAATTTAATAGTTCAGTAAACTAAACATTGACTGGTATTTTCTAAATATACCTTGCGCAGACCTGCCAATCTTTAGTTTACGTAACTATTAAATTTAAATTTAAAAGTTTATTTTCTTCTTTTTTAGTGCGAAAAAGATAATAGGCCGGGTGAATAAAAATGAGCAATGGCTTTTACTCAGTAATTGTTCAGGTTTACGTAAACAAAAATTTGAGTTTTCCTCAAATTTTTATTTACGTAAAGTTAAGCAATTTATTCAGTAACTGCTCAGCTTTACGCGAATAAAAACTTAATAAAAATTTAATAAGTTTTTATTTACGTAAAGCTGAACAATTACTTAGTAAAAGCAATTGGTCATTTTTATTCACCCGGCCTTATATTTTTGAGCAAATGTTTTTTCTATATTTTATTTTATTTATTATACTTATACCGCCCGAGGGGTAGAAGAATTATTTATTTTATTTTCCTATACTAGAAATGTTATATGACACTCAGTTCAAATTATTAAGTTTTTTAGTTTTAATAACAATTTAAAGTAAATTAATTTTGATGCATTTGGCGATGGTTAACAACAATTTTTTCAGTATAATTGAAATCACTTTATTTATTTCCATAGAAACGATTTTTCTATTATACAAAAAATATAATATGAGTAAGATTATGGTGCAAAGACAATAATAATATTTATCAATTTATATAAAAATAACATTTATCAAAATATTAACTTACTTAAAATTACTATGTTAGTCAATTAATATTATTCATAATAGTACTCAGGCAAATCAACACCACTATTTATCAAGTCTATTATTCAAGTCTTGTAAAATAATCCACTAAAAAAAGCACTTTCTTCTTCCTCTGCCTCTTCGTCCTTGTTGGTCTTTTTTTTCTTTTTCAGAAATCTTTAAAAAAATAAATTCTTTATCTCTTCTTCAACCAAGTTTTTCTTTCAAGTTTTTTTACTTCCAAATCACTTTGCTTGGTTAAATTTTAAAAAAGACATTTTTTTAAAGATTTTTTTTCTATTTTAAAGTCGAGAACTGTTGACGCATTTGGTAGTTTTTGAATCGCTTTTATCTCAATAAAAGCAAATTTTTCATTTTAACCAGATATACGCATTTTGTTTTGCACACTTCTCCAAAAACCACTTTAAAAAAGATGCAAATAATAATTTTTTAAGACTTTGCCTTTAATAAACTATGTTTGTATCAGCCTATTTGGATTTTAGAAATGTTAGTAAAATTGACTGGCTAATAAATATTTGAACATATAAAAACAGATATAAATTCGTCATGAAGTGTTATTGCTGAAAAATGCAGAACTTTGCAAACAAAAAACAAAAGTCTTATTATGATCTTAACTCAATACTTAACTAGAAAATCAACTTTTCAAAAAACGTCTTTTTACTTACATTAACCAATGCAAGTTGGTTAAGGTAACCAATTTGTAACCATGTTACAAATTGTTACAAAATAAACGTTACAAAATTGGTTCAGTGGCGAGCTTTTTTTTTTTTTTCTGTGTTTTAACATAAAATAAAACTTTTACAACTATACTAAAGTAATACTACTATAAAAAATATAAACATAATTAAAGCAGAACGTTAAATACTTTCTTTTGAAAAATACACTCAAAGCCGTCCCGAAGAGATTTTAAAGGGGTGGTGACATATCTGTTTTTTTCCAATTAAAGTCTATAAAAAAATTTGGCCGATTCTAGCCTTACAAAAAAAAAGGAATTTTTTGGCAGACATTTGACGACTGCTAACTAAAGATCCAAGTTTGCAAACTCCAGTTTCCAAGTTTACCGACTAGTTTTTAAATAAAAGTTTACAAGGGGTGTTAAATGCTCCTACGCCCTTTACGTGTATGTTAAGTGCATTCAGACGTCCCAGAATGCACTTAACATACACGGAATGACAATATTCAGTGAGAAGTTGAGGACACGGTAGCATTTTTATCTTAAAACGCGGAAATGTTTACTTCAAAAGATTATTATGCAATGATATAATGTTAGCGTTCTTAACAATTTATGTGATAAAAATAATTTGTCTGTAGTTTACTGCTTTTGTTTACTCCCCTCCCACACGGCTTTTTTGAAAGCATTTCACTTTTGCAAAGTTTTTTAAATTTTTATTTATTTTCTGTTATATGCTTTCCAACCCCTAACCAATTACTTTACACTTTTCATTTATCAATCGCATATATATCTATTGAGATTCAGCTCGAAGAGCATATTTTCTATTATATCAACATATTTACAACAGGATAATATGTCTAAATTATATAAAATATATTAAACATAAGGTACATGTAAACTATAATAAATAAGAGTAAGTATAAAACAAAAAAAATATACTAAAACCGCTTATTAATTAAATATATTATAATGGAATAAAAACAAAGTATAAAACGATAGATTTAGTAAAATGGTATAAACTTGTATTTTGTTTAAACTAAGTATAAAACGATATATGCTCTAAAACGGTATAAATTATATTTATGTATGGACTAAGTATTATTCAAATATTTCCAAAAACAAATTACTTAACTAAAATGATATATACTGAAATTTGATATAATACAAACAACTCCACTAAAACAGCATATATTATAAACTATTTAAAAAAATTATTTTGACTTAACTCACCAACTAATTAACTGCTTTTTTTCTTAACTACCTGCTTTATTTCTGGATCTGCTCATAAGATATAATTACAATTAACTAATACTTTATTTATATCTCCAATATAATTCTTCTAATATTGTTCCTCAGGCATGAACGGCTAAATGGGTCCCATTAGTGACTTGACTTACGGTCTAGTTGCGAACTTTCAGAAATAATAATTACATATGATTATAAACAAATAATAAACTACTAATATAAACAACAAAAATCTTAACTGTTAAAAAAATAGGTAATTCAGTTATGACACTTTTTACCATTAATTTATAAGTTTTCTAGCTAGACTTTTGTTTTTTTTATAAAAACTAACCCAAAACTTACTCTAATAAAATCTTTTTTGCAGTTTCACGTAGGATTTCACGGCCTGAAGTGTTCCAAATAGTTTCCAGTACTTTTGCTCTAGTTGCGATCATTAATAAACAGATTTTTTAAAGAGATCCGAATTTAGGAGTCCGTGTGGGATTCTATATGTTTTAAAAGCTACAGCGTCTAAAGTTATGATAATAGCATTGAAAAACACAGAAATACTATAAAAATAAAGTAGCGGGCAAAAAAAAAAGCTTTGACATAGAGACAGCCAGATTCAAACTGGAATTTTCAGAAAAGACCGAAAACCAACTGCCCCAAGCTTTTAAAGTTATGGACGTACCCTGAGGAAGCATCTGAACCAAACTGCCTTTTTCTTCGGCAAAACATGAAAAGGGAATAGAAATAATCTGGTCAGCAATAGCATCGAAATCTGGTGGCTCATCAAGAAAAATGTCTAAACATCAAAAAGTTCAAATTAAAGAAAAAATAACTGTAGTTTAATTAATAACGGCAAAAATAAATTGACTGTAATAACAGTCTATTTTTTGCTTACAAGTTTCAGTATTTTTTCTTTTAAAAATTCATTTTTGTTAATCAATGCAAAATTATGTCCTTTTATTATTCTTTCAATATTTTTTGTACAACTATAGCTTATTTTAATAGAGATTCTGTTAAAATTTTGTAAAATGAGTGAGAGGGAAATATTTGTCTATTATTTTTATAAACGATATACCTTTTTTTTCCAATTTAATTAAAAAAACTTCTCTATGTCATATTTAGCCTCTCTTGAATTTTCTTGACGTCACATTCAACTTCTCGGAAAATCCTTATAGACCTTATAAAAAACCTAGTGATGAAACTCAAATCATTTCCCTTAAATCTTAAAACAAATTTCTATTTCAATTAACAAGTGACTAAATCAAAACTCTTCTAATAAAATTATTTTTAAATCTTCCAAACGTATGTATAAAAATCAGGGCCGTCCCGAACGGGGGATGTAGGGGGTGTCCCAGTCTCTAAAGAATTCATATATGGATTTAAGTTGCTGTCACATTAAGCATTTGAGTTTTCAATTATAGTTATCTAATTTCAAATATATATAGTTGGCAGATTTGATATATTTCAAAGAACTTTTTTTTTTTTCTGTCTCTAGTTGGCAAACAATACATACGACCCTCCCTTCCCCATGATAGATATATCTGACGGCTCTGATAAAAATGCTCTTAAAAAAATAGATTTAAAATTTTCGAGCTATAGTTTGAAACAAAAGTTGCAAAAAAGCAAAATAGAAATATATTTTGTTTTAAGCCTCTTTATAGCAAAAATGTTTCAACAAATATCGGGTGGACGCGGAAAAATCCGGTCATCTTTAAATTGAGATTTCTCCAAAACTACAAATGCTTTTTATTTAATTTTTTTTTTAATTAAACCTTATTTCCTTATCTTAAATGGTGTTGATAAATTTTTGTTTACAAATTAATGATTTGCAAAATGTTTTGGAAACAAGTTGAGGTGTGTAAAAAAGTTGTGAATTTTTTTTGCAAAAATCCATCGACTTCCTATCGCTTGATTGCTAAACGCACAAATGTCCCAAAATCTACAGTCATAGATATTATAAACAAGTTCAAGACTACTCAAAGCTTCGAAAGAAAACTTGGAAGTGGAAGAAAAAAACTTTCCATAAATCCAAAAAGGTAAAGTCGATTTTACGTTCAATAGCAAGAAATCCAAATCAGTCGCAGCGAGATCTAGCAAGAAAATTTAAGACTTCTCGTTCTTATATCAAAAAAGTACTAAAATATGCTGGAAATAAAGCATTTCATAAAAAAAAATACAGCTAAGAGAAGCTTAAATTGTGAAATTAAAGGAATTCGACGCGCAAAGAAGTTGGTTAAAATAATGGCGGATAAAAATATGTGCATAATTGAAGACGACGAAACGTGTTGCATGGCGGATTTTTCACAACTTCCTGGTCAACAGTTTTACTATGAAAACAAAGATAAACCTGTCGATGATCAATTTAAATATATTCGACGAGAAAAATTTGCATCCTAGTTCCTTGTGTGGCAAGCAATTTGTAGCTGTGGTATGCAGTCCTCTTTTTTTGTCACTAAAAAGACCTTGACTGCCAATCTCTACATCAAAGAATGCCTCCAAAAAAGACTTTTGCCTTTTATAAAAAAATACAAATACCAATATCTCTTTTGGCCCGATCTTGCTGCCTCTCACTATTCTAAAAAAGTTTTACAGTGGTGCAAAGATAATAATGTGAAAATTGTTCCTAAAGATGCGAATCCCCCAAACTGTCCTGAAGAGTGCAAGATTGAAGATTTTTGGGCAATAGTTAAAAGAGTTCTTCGTAAGACAGGTGGACTAACAAATAACAAAAACAAAAAATCTGAGTTAAATTTTAATTGCAGACATGAAATAATTACCTTTTAAAAAACTATAACAACAAATGACCAAACTAAAATTATCCTAATTTCTAAGAATTTTTTTCATGGATAATTTATATTTTTAATGTAGTTGCTGCAACAACTAAAGATATTACACAATTCTCAACTTCCTGTGAAATTTTTTTTCATACATTTTAAATTTATATGTATATATATATATATATATATATATATATATATATATATATATATATATATATATATATATATATATATACATATATATATATATATATATATATATATATATATATATATATATATATATATATATATATATATATATATATATATATATATATATATATATATATATATATATATATATATATATATATATATATATATATATATATATATTAAAAGTTAAATATATATATTGCGCTCAATATATATATTAAAAGTTAAATATATATATTGAGCGTGGTTTCGGACAAATATTTTTGTTTCGATGATCAAGTAAATATTGACGTTTTTCATATTTGCTTTAAGCAATCATTGTTTAATTGGTATTTTTGATTATTTATATTTGTAATACCCTATTCGATTGTTGAGAATAAGCAATTGTTGCGATGTAATTAAAAAATAAACCTTTTAAATAAAATATGGTACATCGGCCAATAACGCTAGACCGCAACCAGCTAATAACACCACAAGTTTATTTTAGATTTTTGATAGCGGTTATGTGTATATGTGTTGCAATTGCGTTTAAAACCTGTAATATACTGTAAACTAAAGTAACTTAATATAAAGGTTTAAAAAATAAACAAAAAAAAAAAAGCAAATATTTAAATTGAAAAAAAAAAAACATAAAGTAACAACCGCTACTTACATCAAGGTAAAAATTCGAAACATAAGTGCGGGGATAATTTTCCCCGATAAGCTTTAATAATTTTTGACAGACATTGCAGTCATTTTGGATATATCTATAATTAAGGGAATAAGTTAAACATTGAAATGCGCATTGAAGTAATAAATCCTGATTTTTACAAATCTAGTATTTTGAAACCTTTACCTGAAACCTTATGTCTTATTTTTTTTAAAGCCTGTACTATAAGAAGGTTAATTACATTTTTAACTATGAAATTTATACTTTTCTGATTGTAACTTAAAATTTCATTGAAACTTCATTTTGATTGTAACTTGAAATTTCTGCTTTTATGTGTTTCCTATATATATAGAAAGATAGAAAGAGACGTCTAATGATAAATGTGACAACCACGCTTTTCTGAGATGATTATAAGATTTTATAATAGTTATATAATTTTTATCTCAAAACAACTCTGTTCTGGCGAGTTTAGATAGACATGGATCACATAAAAAAACTATTTTCTAGTAAATATGCTAAAAATTATTACATTCATATGCAAAGTATTTCTTTACGCTATACCAGCAGACGTAAACCACTATAAAGATCTTTAATGAAACACTTTTATACAGCTTTTAGTGAAACGTCGCCAAAATGGGTGCAAATTAATCTTGGAACCAAAACTACAGATACCAGTATTAATGTCTTATATCCAGTATATTTTCAAAAAAATCACTCAATGAAACAGCTTCAAGTGAATTTAAATGCAGCAACATAGCCCCAATAGACAAAACTATATTTTTTGACCTTGAATGTCTACCAAATATAGTTAAAGTAGTTCCCATGAAGTTTGAGCCATCAGCAGTAAAACAAATTAATGAACCACTAGTAATAAATGAATGAGTTTCAAATAATAATGTTCTCTTTCCCAGTAGGCGTAAAAAAGACGTCTTTTAAACGTCTTATACACGTTTTAACCGTCTTTTAAACGTCTTTTGAACGTTTTGGACGTCTTTTGAACGTTCAAAAGACGTCTTTTTTAGGCCCGGTGCCACTGGGTTCTAGCATCACTTACATTGCAGCAACCGTTTTTAAAGTATCATTAACTTACGATGCAGCTACCAAACTTTTAGTAACTGATGTTTGACATGTTTTGTTTCTGATTCTTAACATTTCTGATCTAGAAATAATTCTAGGTCAAGAAAAGCTTAAAGGAAGAATGTTCTCACTTTTCTTTTTTTTATGTTATCCAACCCAATGTTAAGCATTGGAAGCTTCCTATATAAATAACGTGTTACTTACTATAAGCGTATTATTTGCTAAAAGCGTGTTATTTGCTAAAAGCGTGTTATTTGCCATTAAAGACTAAAAATGTGCAGGATTTTTTAAGTAAAAATGATTTTTAAAAGTTAAATTAAGACTTTAAAAATTTTTAAAGTTTAAGTTAAGACTTAGAGTTACTTATATTTGTGAAACAAAGAAGGAGTCAGTTTTATGACTTCTTTTCTTTTTTTCTCTTTCATTTCAATGAAAAGTTTGATAATGCCAAACAAACGGCTACTGTCAAAAAATTAAAGAAGAGCATCAAAAAAAAAAAAAAAAATCTTTTAATTAAAAATATTAAATTGAGTAATTTGTTTATCTCAACAGACAGATGATTATGTGGTGTTTTAGGACATTCTTCAATGATTTTGTATCATTCTTCAATGATTTTGTAACAATATGATGTTTCACCCGACTGAATTAAGAAGCAATAACCTAAAATATTATAAAAGGTCAAAAAATTTCAATTTTTTTATAATAGGTTGGCTTTAAAAGTTTGCAAATTACTCCACAAATGATGAAAGTTCATTTTGTGCAAAAACAGGCGAATATTAACAAAAACAGACGAATATTAACAAAAACAGGCGAATATTAACAAAAACAGTCGAATATTAAAAAAAACAGGCGAATATTAACAAAAACAGACGAATATTAAAAAAAACAGGCGAATATTAACAAAAACAGACGAATATTAACAAAAACAGGCGAATATTAACAAAAACAGGCGAATATTAAAAAAAACAGGCGAATATTAACAAAAACAGACGAATATTAACAAAAACAGGCGAATATTAACAAAAACAGGCGAATATTAACAAAAGCAGGCGAATATTAACAAAAACAGGCGAATATTAACAAAAACAGGCGAATATTAACTCTGCAGGGTTCTCAAGAGTATTATTCAACGCCTTATTATTATATACTTTTTCTAAACATTTTTTCTATGCCTTTTTTTCACTTATAAACCCCTGCTGCTGTATCAGACCATTCTTTGCTATAATTTTCAGCTTTAAAATCAGCAAATAATTAGCAACCATAGCAGTACATTTTTTGATTGCAAGATGAAAATACTAGCCAATTTTTTTCCTTTTATATATTTCCCTTTCCAATAGTTTTTGTACACCAAGATATTTGGAACTTACGACTGGCTTCATCAGTTAGAAATTGGAAATATTTGTGTAGACCTGGCTGACATGGTCCTATTTTACACAACATCCTTATCCGTTTTGCGCTTAAACTCGTATTATTATAAGTCCGGGATCTGAAGGGAAGTCCGATTGAGAAAGAAATGGTTCTTGAAGAGTTGTAACTACTACCGGGTTATATGGCACAAGTTCTTTTCATCAAATGCTTCATTTTTAGACCTGGTACCATTATCGTTTGTCTGCTTGAAATCTTTCAGCATACATATCAGTTTCTCGACTTTCTGTATGGACACTTTCAGAAAGATGTTGATCTTCAGACACAAGCGTATTTACAGCAGAAGTTGTAACTGACTGAGTATTCTACAATATGGTTAAAAATTATGTTAGTTTGTGACACTTGCTTGCATGTTTAAACGAACCTTCTTAGCTAACTTGCGGGTAGCTGGTCCACTTAACTTTCGCTTTTTTGTTTTTATTGCTAGGTTCTTGATCAGTATCATCCAAAGTAATTAACATAACAATTTTATAGCAAGAGTTTACGACTGTTGCGTAACTGGTTCAATTTAATACAATTGATCAATCATATATACTCTGTAAAATAAATTTTAACAACCCTTAAAAATAGTAACGCTGATTTTTTTAAGCAAACACCGAAGTTACTAATTTTTAACATGTAATTAATAACAATATTAAATAAACAATAATGTTTAAAAATCAAATAATTTTAATAATTTGTTAAAACGGCAACCATGCAATGACGAGAACAGAAAAGCTGACAACAGATACTGATTTCTGATACAATGATTATCAGAAATCATTGTAATAAATTAATTATAAAAAACAAAAACCTAAAATCAAAAAAATTAAATTCAAGTAAAAGTCCTTTTAAAAAGAAGTTTTAGATTGATTAAGTTAACGTCGTTTAACGGTTTGAATCTTCATATGTTCTTTTTTATTCAAGCGTTTCAATAGTTTTTAATGTTTTGATCTTAGACTTTTTTTTTAACCTCTGTTTTAAAATATTTTTTCTTCCTCTTCACTTTTGTACTAATTTTTTATTCTTTTTCATTTTGTTTTTCATTGGTAATTTGAATATATAACTTTATTTTCTTTTTGAATGTTTTAGTGTGCGCCGTTTGACCGTTCTAGGGCCTCACGCCTTACACTAAATCCGCCATTTTCGCAGTGCAAATTTTGCACCTATTTAACAATGACTGACAAGCATGAAAATTGTTATAGCATGCTGGTCGTAAATAAATTATATTACCATTATCAGTATTACGCAGCTCATTAGTTAAATTAGTTTAACCAATTAACTTTAAATTAATTGATTAAAAAAATTGTCAAATATGCATTAATGTTACTTTTATTATTATTAAATTATTTTATTATCTATATTTTTGTAATTTCTTTTTTTGCCTTAAAAACCATTTTTTAGAAAAGAATTAATCAAAGCAGCAAAATCTTACCTTCAAAAACGGAAAAATGATCTCTTACAATGAAAGGAAACTCTGTTTTCAATTGTAGTTGTAATTTTAATTAGTTGTATACATTAACCATCATTAATGTATATTATTTAATCTGCATTTAACGTATTAATTACATATAAAAAAAAATTACTAAATTTTTATTTTATCAGTTTTTATTAGGTTAATACGAATTAAGCAAAAAGTACATAGCAGAAATATAATACTTTTCAAATAAGGCTCTTTTAATAATTATGAAAACAAACAATACTTTTACACTAAATCAATAATGTCAAATTCAAAGGTTTTTGTTAACGCTATTGTTTTTTTATCACTTTTATCATAAAATAACTTATTTATTACAATAATTGCTGAAAAATTTAAGAGGAGTAAAGACGGTTAAAAAAAAACTCTAGGTTAAAATTAAATCTTGGGTGAGTCTATTCGCACGTGGGAATAGTCACGTGTGAATATATCTTATTATAGTCTATTCGCACGTTTAAAAAAACTTCAAGTTATATTTTTAATATGAAATCTCTCACAAACAAAAAATGTTTATAACTTAAGTCATATCTTTTAAAAGCAATTTAATTTCTTTAATCAATTATAATAAAAATAAATAAACATAATTAAATTTTTATTCAAAAAACAAACAAAAACGTGCAAATAGACAAAATAAGCATTAAGAAATACTTCTTTTTTTTAATTAAAAAAGATTGCCTGCCCAAGCCAAAACCCTCTTAAAATTAGAAATTATATAAGTATGACAAATGTGGATTTTACAATTAAATGTAACTCAGCTGTTTAGAAATTTTTTTAACGGGATGATAAAGGCCAGGCAGCAATGTGTAAGTTGCTAAACTGCAAGAATATATTAAAAATCGGTGGTAGTTTAACGAAAGGACTTCATACAAACATGTTGTCGGTACATAATGTGAAGGTCGAAGGTTCAAAACAATCCAATATTACTAAAGAAAGCACACAGGGGAAAACGGGGCAGCATGGCGAATGGGGCAAGAGGGTTTACACATAACAACTCAACAAAAAATCTTAAATTTAGGGGAAAACTAAACTGTATTTTCATTTTGTATTTTAAAACAGCAATTGATTTTTTTAAATATTATTTACACAATTTTAGACGCATAAGTTTATTTTTTGCGCTTAAAAAAAATTCCTCAGTTTCGGTTTCTCATAATGAATGGTGTCCTTCAAGTTTAACTTCTTTAGAAGTAGTTTATTTCAACTTGTGTTTATTTTGTGTTACTTCAGTTAGAGTTATTGGTAGTTTTTAAAATTTTAAATAATTAGAGGCAAAAATTGCGTAATAAGTTATCTTGCGCGTGACTAGATGACAATTTTATGAACTTTTTCACGTGACTAGATGACAATTTTATAAACTTTTTATTTTAATATTTATTTCAAATTGTGATATTTGCAAACTGAAAATTCATGCAGGCAATGAATCATTTTAATAACATAAACATACTGAGAAAGTATTATTGCTTCACGACTGATAGTTTTGCAATAACTCAGGACTTTCAAAACGTTCGCCATGTCGCCCCACTTTCCCCTAAGATAAACCGTCAAATAATAAATTTTAACCACTAATAAAATACCTTTGGATTATGAAATCGAAGAAAAAAACACCTCATGCTATACTTGCTCGCCTAACAGCGTCAGACGGATTTTCATTTCATGTGATTAGTTCTTCAACAGATTTAAGTGTTAATCTACCAATATCAGTAAACACAATTCGAAATTATATAATAGAGTACAGCGAAAAAAAAAAAAAGATTAGCTTTAGTTCAACAAGTTGAAGCACACAAGAAAACGGAATTCGGGATAGCAGAGAGATTTTCTTTGTCTATTGACAAACGGAAGTCACTTTAAATTCGTTGCTATATAAATATTAATAATAAAAAAATTGCTAATTTTTCATTAAATTACAATTGTTTCAAAAGTTATTTGACCAACTTTTTGGGCGAAATATTTCATGAAAATTTACGTTGGAATGATCATATAAAATTTTTTATATGATCATTATGTTGGAATGATCATATAAAAAGCATTGAGAAAAAAATTACAAAAAATATTGCCATGATATATAGGGCTAAACCATTTCTAAATAATAAATCTTTAAAAAGTTTAAAGTTTTTTTTATTTGATTTATTGTAATATTGCATGGGCGAGAACAAATCATACAGAAATTACAAAAATTGTGCAGAAAACAAAAACTTGCGTGCAGAATATTTTATGGAGCTGATAAAATTGTACCATGCGAGCCTCTCCTCTGCGTATACTAGGCGTATTAAACGTTTATAAAATCAACTTACACCAAGTTTTAATGTTCATGTATAAAATAAAGAAAGGACTATCTCCTAAAATATTTGAGTCCTATTTTGAAAAAGTAGTGTTTAAATACCCGACAAAATTTTCAGATAATAACTACATTTTCCCTTAATATAATTCAAAAATTCATATTAAAATCGTGGAAACTTTTTTGTGGAAAAGTTTTTTTATTAGTCTATTCGAAAAAAGTTAGTTTACAACAGATTAAAAATGAACTGAAGCAGGCGTTATTATTTATGGATTTTAACATATCTGATTTTAAATGTTTCTTTTAAACTGAAATTCAATTATATAAAATATTCCTCAGAATTTTTTAACTTTTTTTTTCATTAACTCAGTAATGGTGTTTCTTCTAATCCTTAACGTTTTTGATGAAATCTAATCTTAGTTCTTAAATTTTTTCTTTTTTTTTCTAACTATCAATGAATAGTTATTTTTTATAATTGTTTCATGGCTACTTAAAGTTTACGACCTAATATTCTACATATTTGTCGAAAAAATCATAGTCATAATATACTATAATATAATATAAAATAGTAGTCATAATATATATATATATATAAAATCATAGTCATAATATCTTATATTATTCTTCAAAAAGCTTCAAAAAGCAAAGCAAATAAACAGACAAAATGTATTTATGTCTTAAAATACTTTCTATTCAACAACAACAAAATTTCGTTTATAGAATTATTTTATTAATTTATTAATTATTTTATTAATTTCTGTTTTCTTATAACAAAAAAGAAATATTGTTCATATTAAATTTGTTAAAAACATGTCTTTTTTTTATATTTATGTCCATATAATTAACATCAGTAATTATTTATTATTGAAGAATATATTACTGATTGTTTTATTTATGAGATTTATCCCAAGTTTAAGGTGATCGGAACAAATGATATTTTTTTTTAAATAAAAATTTTTTCAATATAAACTGAGCAGTGGTTCTGAATGGCAAATCAGTATTGTCAATTACATCAAAAGTAAAGTCTAAAAGTGCAAAAGCATCAAAGGAATAGTTACACAGATTAATAGATGGTATAGCCAATCCTCCCCTCTATAAAATTTTAATATATTGTTTATCTGGAGAATCATATTTATCTACTCCAATCATTAGGTTATGACAGCATATACCTAATCTTTTAGAAATTTTCTCCAGATCATCTGTTTGATATCACTATTGCAGATATCGATGCTTTCTTTAACTAAACTTTTAAATTTGATAATTTGCTCAGAGCACAAAACATCTTTTAAGCACACCAAAAATCTCCCCCCGCTCATCTGTCAGTACTGTCCAAACCTTCTCTCTTTTGAATCACTTTGAAATCTTGCAGTAATGACAAATGTATAACCTTCATTTAATAGATCTTCAATTAAAAAAGCATGACAATTAAGTGTTTGTTTAAATGCTGAACTCATGATTTTTTGTTTTTTCAATCCATAATGCTCGTAAAAATTCTGGTTTTTTATCATTCAAGATAGCAGCATTTCCTAAATAGTTATTGGAAGAAAACTGGTTTTTACTATTAGCAATAATCCACCATTTATTAAATAACCCTCAAAAGCCAACAGCATCCTCACGTAAATGAAATTATGATTTCAAACCAGCTATTGTACTTTCATTAAATAAGTCAAGAGCTACTTGAACATTTTGTTTACATTTTCCTGGGTGTAGCACTTTACTTGTTAGTTTAGGAGCTTTACGTAAATCTGCATCTAAAGCAAGATCTTTTTCATGGACATCATGAAATAGTTTCCAAGATACTTTACCTGTAACCTTTCTGTAACCTTATCTTTAAAGCCAATAAACTCAAATAGAGGAAACAAAAACTTCTTTTGATTTAGCAAGTTGTTTCTTACAATTTCAATTAAATGAACAGCATCATGAAATAAATAAACTTTTCTGCAGTTATATAAAATTGAAAAGCTATCAAATCCATTTTCATATTTTGATAACAATTTATTAAATGCAGAAACATTGCTTGCATGATTGTCGCACACAATAGCCCGCACAACAAACGCACCACCATGCAAAAGATTCAAAGTTTCAAGAATCTCATTTTTTAACCAATCACTGTCAATTCGTACTACTGGAATAGCCTTTATAATATATGGGATGTTTTTCTTAAAACTGTTTATCATAAAACAAACAACACTTTTGTAAAGTTCACCAACACTGTTAACACCTGTTATAGTTCCAATAGAATATTCTGCACATTTCTGTATATACATTTCATCAAATATTATGCAAAGGTCTTGTGACATTTTGCCATTTTCAAGTAATAATTTTGCAGCTTTTAGTGCATCAATGTTACCAGAACAAATTTTATTTAATAAAGAAAGTGATGGTAATCGAAATTCTTCTATAAGTACTTTGTAGGATTGCATAGATGTATAGCGCAATAATAATGCATATCGAATTAAGTTACCAGAGTACATTGGTTTTTTCTGATTTTTTATTTTTTCAAGTTCTTCAAAAACTGAGAAATTTTTTTCTGCTTGACCTCTTAAATAAGCAGGAAAGTTTTCAAACATACTTTTACGAGTTAATGTACAATTATGACCATTACAAAACCATTTTGGCAATGGTACTGAACAACCCTTATAAAATAGTTTAACGTGTAAACTCTCATCAATTTGTATACACTCAATAATACATTTCAATACTTCTGGTATTGAAAACTCATTAAACAACATTTTATAAAATACAATATGACCATTATGTTTTAGCATTTGGTAGCCACTTGGACATAGAATACCAGCAACACAGTTTAAATTTTTTATTAAATCATTTTTTAAAATTCGCTCCTTTGATTATTCTGGTATATACGTTTTGTTGGAGATTTTCTTTCCAAATTTATT